TAATTTTTGAAATAGATAACCACATGTCTTCTCTTTATGTCACAGGGGCCGTGGTAATTACTAAATTTGACTTTTAGGCTATACACATTTTTTTGACAGGTAGTTTTTTTCGTCCAATAATTTTAAATAATTTTTCTCAAAAACAGTTAATGTTAGATATAGAGTGTTTAACATCAATATTCATAGAATTTTATAGAGAATTTAAGTATGTAATAAAAAATGGGGGCACCCATTTAAATTAAGAAAGTTGCGGTCAACTCCCGGTATTTCCGGAAGTGCCGCCATATTGAAAATATTTTTAATCGATAGATCTCGTTATAAAACAATAATGTGCAAAAAATCTCCGATCTAGATATTGTGATTCTCTAGAAACTTCCAATGCACGCTCAGCCTGGGACACTCTGTATATACAAAAAAAGTATATAACTCACGGATAGGTATATTATTTTAGAAGGATTTCCATAAGTCTTTGGAAATTCGGAACAGGTGAGCTCTGAAATATGGACAAAATCCGGACTTTGTCGAGAATATAGTCTGTCTAATGAGAAGAATACCTAAAAGTGCGAGTTGTCTGTTAGTTTAATTTATAGGAAAATTGGATTCTGTTATTTTTTGGGCATCGACTGACGATATTCTTCCCTGACTCGTTGGACAGGTCTAACTTTACTTTAAAGGGAAAATTAAAGGCAGTTCAAAAATGTGTTAAGTATACTCTTTGGCCTTTGTAAGCAGTACTAAGCTGTATACTGTATACTTTGCAAATAACATCAGCATTGGATTATCTTTTTTTAATAAAAAACTTTGAGCATTAAGCTTGATTTTCATTATTAAATGCTTAATTTTGTTAGTAAACTTTAATATTGCACATTATATACCGTTACTTCCAAACCAATTTACCGGTTGCAAAATCAATTGAAGAGTACAGGGGAAAACTTGATAAGCGCTAATTTCTTAATTTTAGAATTTTACATTATTATAGTAGGTTAGGTTCCTTACAAAATGTACAAACTCTGCAGGGCAATAAGTTGTTAAATCTTATGATATATGCCTAGTAAAAATCTAGAATACGAGTAGACGAAAAAGCATGATAACCTCCAGCCGTCCACTGCTCTCTAGTAAAATTAGTAAAATGGGGCGCTTATCATGTTTTCCCCTGGACCCTTCAATTAGCATGAGCTAAAGTCCAACAAATCAGGGAAAATTTCGAAGGATGATATTCGAAAAATGACAGAAAACACAATTTACTTGTGAATACAGGCACAACTATCACTGTCATGGATACTTTCGTTAAACAAGTTATATTCACAAGGTGCGCATAATCATAACAAAATAACAACAAAAGAATTTGCAATTCACATGCACGAGTGCACCAAAAACTAAAAGTTTGACCTTATAGAGATGGGTGCTGTCGAACATTGTCGGTTAAGTGGATGTGTGACATCGTAACGATCAAAATATTCAACAAAGTTAAGTTGTTCTTACGGTTGGAAGTCACGGACTTTGTTCAAATTCCGGCCGGACTACCCCGAACATGTCCTGGTAAATCTAGACGAATGGAGACCCTTTATCTCCGGCTATATTTTATAATACATATATAGATTCTCAAAATATAGAAAGAAAAATTGTTTAGGCAACCATAAATATAAATGCTATTTACAGTATAGGGTGGTTACATACATTTTAACCAATAGTTTTTAAACAATCTCCTCAAATAAAAATTCGGAAAAAGTTTTGATTACAAAAGTTGCAAAACAAGAATCCATCAGAACTCTCATATGAGTTGATTCCACAAAATGAAGAAACTCTTATATAATTTTATTATATACCTAAAAACTGCAAGAAATATTTTTCCATTATATATTTTGGGCTAGCCGAAAAACGCCTTTTGAAAGCTTAGAAAAGTGAAAAAGAAAATAAAAATATGCAGTTTTAGTGTTCATTGATTAAAAATGGTCATATTTAGCAAAAAAACTAGATTACTCTCATATAATTAATAAGCCGCAGTTTCATTCCAGTCAGTGGCACCAGCACTTAGTTATTTATATAAAGGGTCGCTGATATGTATGAAACCGGTCGATTATTGGGAGAAGTATAAGAGCTACAGCAAAAAGTCAATACAAAAGTTATAGGGTTTTTGGTTTGGTAAGTATACAGGGTCGTCATCTTAGATTAACAATAAAAAGTCGTCATTGAGTCGTGGCACATCCTGGAAACCCCTTGTATGTTATTGGGTATCTCAATTATTCCTTCAATTTTAAGCAAAATTTGTAATACACATATGTACCTAAATCCAACCGTTTCCGAGATATACAGTTTTAGTTTTGAAATGTTAAACAATTTTTTTGATTTCCACACTTGATATCTCATTTTATACATCTATAAATGCTAACTTGAAAACTAATTTCAAATATTATTAAGTATTATAATTTCCGCAGAATGGCATCGTTAAATGAAACCGAACACATCGAAATTAATTAAATCAAATTGTTTAAGTGATATTTTCAAAACTCAATAAATCGGAAACGGTTGGTTTGAGGTACATTGTGTGTATCTCGACTTTAGCTTAGAATTGAAGGAAGAATTGAAATATGCAATAATATACCGGATGTGTCATTTAAAAATGAAACTTTGATGTACCACGACTTTATAACCGACCCTGTATACTTAAATTTATTACTCACCAATAGACATTTAAAAAGGCTGTACTTAAACTGCAGTTAAACGGTAGCTTACTAAAATGCCGTTAATAGGTATGACGTCGTTGATGTGACGCACTTGACGGCTTTATGAAATATAGGAATTTTATAAAGACTAACCAACGCTATCCACCCCTCCAAATAATCAACTTAACCAACGCAACTAGCCTCGACACTGATAAAGAATATAAAAAACAAATGTAAATTAGTAAAAATCAACCAACCCCACCAAATAACCAACTAACCAATGAATTAACACCCTCCAAATAACCACGCTAACCAACCCGCCAAATCACTAAACCAATCCAACCAAAAAGAGTGAAACCAGTGCAATAAGATCACGCTATAAGCAAAAAAAATATAAAAAAGTCTTGGTCGGCGTGAGATTTGAACCACGGACCATTCGCTAACGAAGCGATAGCCTCAGCCACTGACCCACAGGTGCTCTTGCAAAATGCTTAAGGTTAGGCATTACTTTCCGCCGACATGAACGACGTCACAAAATCTATTAACGGCATTTTAGTAGGCTACCGTTTAACGGCTGTTTAAGTACATCGATTTAAAAACTAGTGTTGGGAAAATTCGAATTAAATAATACGACTAATTCGATAGTAAATTAAAACTAACTAATTCGAATTATCTTTTTCGATATAATCGAGATAAAAATTAGTAGTATTTTATATTATATCTGTGGTAACCGAATTACAAATGAACATAGAACATAACCTCTTATGGACGAATACGAATATTAGTAATTAGTATAGTAATATTAGTAGTATTCTTTCGTTCGGAACGAACTGAACATTTTCACTTAAACTGATTTATAAAGGGAATCGACAAAGAAAGGAACGATCCGATATAGAAAAATCCAGAAATCATTGTTATTTCCTATACCACGTAGGAATAAATCAGTTTAAGTGAAAATTTTCATTTCGTTCAGAACGAAAGAATACTACTATTATTTGGTTCATTTCCATCTCACCCAAATTTCACCGAACACTAAAATTAATTTTCTTCTTTTATCTAAATAATTATTGATTGCAACTGATAAAATAAAAAGAAATACGAACCGCACGTAAACAAGGACATACTTATATCGTTTTAGAAGAAGCTTTTATTTTAGATATGAGCTTTTCAATAGGAATTGAAACAATCATAAACTCGGCACTTTTAAATTTAAAACTTTAAATTATGGTTTAATTTATTAAACGGCTTCGGCACAGTTAATAAAATACATTGAATAAAGAATATATTTTTTATTTTTTATTCAGTGATAGAATATAGGTATGGCAATGGTTCAGAATTTGTTTAAAATAGCCCCTAGATGAGAACTATCTGGGACGAATTTATTTTTAGGTTAAATTTATAATACTACTAAATAATTCGAATTATTAATTCGATTATTCCCATCACTATTAAAAACCCTATAATTTTATATATAACTTTTTGCGGTACCTCGTATATTTTACACAATAATCAACAGTTTCCATACATATCAGCGACCCTGTATTATTTTCGGCACGTGCATTTGACAAAAAATGGCCACTAACACTAGATAATTTACCACTGAATTTATTGAGTTATATGTAAAGTTTTCCATGCCCATGTCAAATTAAATCTGAGGACTATAGACGGCAAAGAAAAACGATGTATTTAATAAATTGATAGCAAAATGCCAAAATATACAATCTGAGGCAAACAAGGAAAATGTAAAAGAGAAAATTGACTTTTTAAGGGGGTTTCCACAAAAAAATTAAGAAGATAATGATTTCTGAAGGAAGCTCTTTTAATAAATTAACACCTTGACTGCCATTGCACTTGTATTGTTACTTGTTACCAATATTGACCCAAAATGTATTAAAAATCATCATTTTTTAATATTTCATACTATTTATTTGTCTAGTGCAGACGCACAGAACCACACATTTCAACGCAAACGCTACGAATTTACTTGTGTTAGGAGCTGCAGAACATTTGGTCAAGAATCAGATTTCTACAACTCTTGGTTGGCGTCTGGAAGTAGATAATCAGCAACAAGTTAGTTTGTGCTTAACAGTCAACATGTTAATATACAAAAATTGTTGCCACTGAAGTAATCAACTTTTGCAACAATTTTCTCTATTCCCTTTTTGGGTTTTTTATTGCAATTAATGCCGTCACTACTAGCACTCTTTCTCGAATCCATCATTGGGGCAACTACCCGCGCGTTTTTAACTGCACAGTTAAAACTGAGCAAAGTAATCAAAGTATATGGGGGGCCTTATGATATAACATAAAACCACCTACTGTTATAAAAAAAAATACTTTTTAATAACATGTATATTTTAGGTAGCCTAATTTAACTGTTCATTAATATATCTTCTTTAACTCAATATACATTAAATGTGAAATTATAACCCAAACCTCACTAATTAATGTTCAATATAAAAAAAACATAGGTGGTATTGTCACAAAATTACCACAACTTAACCTGATCAATCTGTTTCTAGTTTTAGTGTATATTTTTATGACATTGAGCTGCATGGTAACCTTGGTGAGCCCATTTGAGTTAAAACTCGATCAAGCCATTGCAAAGGACCATTTAAATGTAATTCTATCCAACATGGAGTAGAGGTAACTGTCTGTCGCCTAAATCCAAATACAAATATAGGAAAATATAAGGTAATACATCTGTATGCTTTTGCTAAAGTTATACCTGTACTCTGCACCCCAGCCTTTAACAAATGACATTCTGATAGTACACATTCTTGTTAATTGGTACACTGCTTCAAAGCCTTGACTAACAGACTGTGATAACAATGCAGCAAATTCTTGATTGTTGAAGATTTTTAGATTACATCCTAATACATAAATACATTAAAAAAATAAAATACAGTAGAAAGAAAAATATATTACCAGGTGGTATTTTACAAACAGTAGCTGGATGCCAACCATACCTTTGGTTACAATTGGGAGACTGAACAAATATACTCGAATCGCTTAGACATTCTGCAAATACTTCCCCACCGATATAGTAAAGTCTCACTCCTTTTCCTATGTGTCTTCTTGTTTGTTCCACAACTGTATTTCTATTCACGTTTGATAGGAGACCCAGACAAAATCTATAAGAATTCCTATTCATAACTTGTAAAATATTAAAATATAATTTACCTTTCTGAATTACTTGGATCTGTGAATCCATCAACAGTAATAGAAGGTTGACTTGCATGAAAGGTCTCACCTACTCTAGTGTTAAGTTCATAATAACTTATACTACACCAAAATGTAGGTTCACAATACATTACAGGCTGCGCATCTACAGGAGGACTAGGAGTTATTCTTGATAAACCTATAAAGCCATCTGTTAGAATCACTACAAATGGTACCGTATAAATTGGCTTACTCATGTTATCATTTGGATCAATTGGATCTCCATCTTCTGACATATATCCTGGAGGAGGAGTTTCAGTTGGAGGTACAATACTTAATGGCGATTCCATACTAGATGGAGTACCGTTTGGACAAATTCCAACAGTATCCATAGGGTATCCACCAGTATGTTGCATAAGTCTAAAAATAAAACAGTTAAAAAAATTAATAGTTATGTCATGTGTAATCAGAAACTTACCCTAATGCACCATGAGGAAATGAAGTGTTTTCTGGTACAGAAGTGCTTAAATCTTCCAGTGAATGAGGAAATATATTATTCTCATCGCCCAAAGTGTGTCTAGGTACTAAAATCGCAGGTAACGCTAAAACTCGAGAAAATATTATAGCAAAATTCTAATCTATTTGCATTAATAACTTACCAGGACTTTCTATTCTTGTATAGTGATAAGGATTAACACAAACCTCATCCTTCTTTAAAGAATATGCATATTCACAATGATCAAGAGCTCTGAGCTCATGATGTGATTGTAGTTCTGGCCACCTCCACAGACGACAATATATAACATGCGGTAGTCCTTTTTTTTGTTGTTGGATATTTCCCAAATCAACATTTGGTCTAGCTCTAAAAATTTATTTTAATGAAACAATCAGTTTATGACACAAGGACTAATTCCTCAATATTGCAATATTTAAAAATATTAAAACATTAAACTCATCCATTGCATAAATATTATTAGTAAAAATATAATTTATTTTTCGTATATATAAAAAATGTGTATAGTTTTATATATTTAAATAAAAAGATGTATTTTTTCGGTAAAAACTAGTAAAATTTATATTTTGAATGATTCTCTAGTCTCTTTATTTAATTAATGTGTTTTCCAGACACTATAGGGTAGGTCACAAGCCAGACAAGGTGCGGTGAGAGGGGAATACAATCCATAATGACCTTAAACTTCGCATCTTAATGTTTGAGAAGCACAAAAGAAAACATTACCTTGGAACTGTCACGCATTTTGTGTTATGGTTTTGCGAAGAAATTGCACGTTCGAGTTCTTCTAAAGCACTAGATTTTTTCAATTTCTTTACAAGCGATTTAACTGCCTTCTCACACCATTTGTCATCATCAGAGCCTTTTTTCCAACCAAGCAACCGTCTTACCACTGGTGGAGTGAATGACGGCAACATTACGTTCATCGTATATTTTTTAAATATTCATCAAATCACAATTGAAACTGACACTTATTTCAAAAAATCTAATATTAGTTTAACATTTTACTTTATTATTATTGCTGCCTACAGCCATATTGTCTACGCTTGACATTCTGTTGACATCACAAATCATACCCACAGAACACAGAACATTATACAGCAATGGGCGCATTCATTAAACACACCGGTTAGTCCACCGGTGCAGAAAATTAAAGTGAATGCCAAATGGTAACTCACTGGTTGATTCACCGATCACTTGAGATTACCGCCTACCGTATTTTGTTTCCGGTTTATTTACGTACCGGCAGCGTACCGGTAACTTGATCGTTCAATGAAAAGTTATCGGTAGGTCTTTACCGGTTAATAGCGGTGTGCGTTAATAACTCAATGCGCCCATCGCCCATTGACAAAAGGATATCAACAACGGACCGTACTCACGTGACTTTTCTTTTCGGCCTGACAGGAGTCATGCCATAGAGTCATGATATGATTGATATGGAGTACTATGGGTATGGGCATAGGGTATGGGCTTGGATATGGGCTGGGTATGGGCCTGATTGTTTTGACAAGTGGCTCTAGTAGCTCGAATGTTGTCATACTAGTTGTCAACAATTTTTATTACATTTACATGTAGTTAACTGGAGGTGTAATGTTTCTTAAATGTTTTTTGGCAATAAAAATAATAATAGTTAATTTTCACAAGACATTTAGTAAAGAAATTCCGAATGACAATGGGACAAAAGATGAAACAAATTCAAACGAAAAAAAAAATTTAAAAAAACGCGTCCATCACCTTTTTGTGCGTGGTAATTTTCAGCAATCAGCAACTTTTTTGTTTATAAAGATTTACACATACTACTTGCGAAGAAAATATAGCAGAAACATTAGGAAACTTAAAAAACAATATCAATAATTATTTCTAATGGAATTGGAGATATATTTTTGGCGATAGCGATAGTTATACAGGATGTCCCAGAAATAAGTCCAAGTATTTTAACTGGTAGTATATTTCGGCCTCAGAAACACGCCTATGAGGGTTTTTTTGCAAAAAAATTGAAAAATTGGAATTTTTTGAAAAAAAAATTAGAATTTTTTTTAGTTTTAAGTTGAAAAACATTATTTCTTGATAATATGGTAACATAGGTAGTAGATTAAATTTACATGAAAGAAAATCCAGAAAAGATCCAGTGGTTTTTTTAAGCAAAAAAACATTTTTTGTTTAGTTTTTTGGACTTATTTGAAAAATGGTATAGAGAAAAAGTTTCTTTTGACCTTTTGACTTTTAAAATATTTGCACTTATTTCTGGGACACCCTGTATATATAGGGTGGTCCAAACTGTATTCCGAAGACTTTGGCAGCATATTCTGCAGATAAAAATAAGTAAAAAAGCTCGTATAAATGTATATCCTAAAATGCTTAGTTTCGGTGATACAGGGTGTAGAAGTTTCTCATTATTTCGATTTGGAGGCGATTAGGGCGCCGCACAGTGATGCCGAAAACGCAAAAAGTGGCAAAAAATAATTTCTCAACTTACTGCTACATTTTTTGAAATTATTTTTGTTAAATGTGGTTTTCTAAGTGTATAAGTGATGTTTGGAATTCAGAAAATTGAATTATGTATACAGTGTGTACTTAAATTGGCTGTAAAAAATAAAAAATGGGTTGTAAAAAATTTAATTATATTATTTTGTCTTCAATAGCATATTAATTTAATACTCTATTCTTTGTAAAGTTTAAAAAATCAAAAAAAGTTTGTGTAAACACATTAATAAATATACAGGGTTTTATTTTCAGCCCCTTACAATAGAATTACCATTTCGTTTTTACAATAATTAATCCTTTTTTCAGAACTAGTTACCAATAAGTATTATTTAAATTCAAGATATTGACATTCTTTTCCATGAGAAAAAAAAAGAGAAAAAAAGAAAAAAAAAAGAAAGTAAATACATCTGTATATTTTATGTAGTTAGATATTAATGAAAGTAACACCCTTGATTAAGGGTAACACCAAAACATAAATTTTCATATTCTCGATAAAAGTTGTAGAATGAATATTGACGCATGATAAACACATTGACACGTCTTTTTAGTTTATATTAACAATAATTATTCAAAATTAATGAGATTTCTAATAATATTAAATTTAATGTCATATAAGCACAAAACGAATAAAAACTTAGGCTTAACAAGGAAAAGCTAGTTAAAATTACACATTAAAAAGTATTTTTAAATTTGAATACTTTGTATATCGAAAATTAAATTGAATAAGAGAAAATATATTACAGTTCGCTAAAGTCTTTCTAAAACTAATTAAAAATAACCAACAACAATATTTTATAGCACCTAAGAAACACCCAGTAATATACTGTCATACGTAATTTATATTGGGAAACTAAACCATGGTTTTCGGGAAAGTTAGGCAACCTAAAGGGTATTTGTGGGCTAATGTTGGTCATGAAACTTCGTAGTTATGAAGAAAAAAGGCTAAGCCCGTGGTTACATTGGATGCGTGTCCGTGCGTTTATTTGGTCGTCCGTGCACGAACGTGCACGCAGGAAAAAAACAAACAAATGCTATCTAACGCAGGCGGTTACATTGCATCGGAGTTTGCGCGTCCGTGCACGTACGTCTATTTCCGTTGGTCGGATGAAAACAAACTGGTTTGTTTTTTTAATACGTGCACGTCCGAGCATTAGAATTTTTCTTCTCTGATCTCAAACATTACCGAAAAAATTGAATATTTTTGAATACCAGGTTTAATTTTATTTGGGATATATTAATGTTGATGGAGAAATCCTAAAATATTCAAAAAATTTGACCGGTTGCTGTATTAATTCACGAAAGGTTTTACATAATCATTTTATTTTTTCTCTTCTTACATATAAATCATTTACCGAACATTTTCTTCTTTTCATGAGTAGTTATTTTAACATTATATCCTCACACAGCATCAAAGTAGTGGAACTTGTTTTTGACAAACTCGATCCTCAGGACACCATGAACGCACATCTAATGTAACCACTAAAATCATATAGTCGTGCGAGTAAATTCCGTCAGAGCTCGCACGTATAAAAAAAACGCACGGACCCGCGTCCAATGTATCCGCGGGCTAATAATTGTAACCTGCATCATATTTTTTTGGAGCAATTTGGAGCATTTTGTATTAGCTTACATAAAATGTGATTTTAGATTAAGCAGTTCATACATCAAGGTCTTTATTGATTTTTTTTTATGGTACCAGAGGGAAGTTAAACTAGAATTACCATGAGGAAAAACAGTTGAAAACATTGTACTTTCTCAGAGTACCATCAGTTTTTAACTAATTTATCACCAACGTTAAACGCACTAATTTTATTTAATCAAAATATTTTAGCTTCAGCTAATAATTTTATAAGCTCGAACATTTCTTATCAGGGATTAATAATGGGCCCGTTTTCATTCAAAAATCTTCACGATTCTGAAAATATGGTCTATTAGGAACTATACGAGTGAAATTATAATTAAAAAAAAATACTTTTGATATTTTGAACTTCTGCATCACTGTGCGTCGTTGCGTTGAATGCAATAACATTCAATACCTCATATTCTATTCTTTTAACTTTATTCAACTCTCTCGAAACATTTTATAGCTTCATAGTTTCACACCGATTTGATCAAAAGCAAAAATGGATTCAAGTAGTTCGACGACACAAGTGAGTAAACAAAGTGCTCGTTACATAATAAAAAAATTAAATAGACATACTATGAGAGGATAAAATATAAGTTGCAATAATAATGGTATACTTCTTTTAACCAACTAGTGGTTAAATGTTTTATGAACATCTGCTAAAATTATAATTTTTAAAATTTCGTTGCAGCTGAAATATCCCCAATTATGCCTCACTAGCAAAACCGGTGATTAAAACTATGCTCGCTACCGTAGTTGAACTCATCTAAAAAGCTTTTTTTAATTGGAATAACAAATTATAATACAAGATAGATCTTCTGAAGATATCAAAATATTTACTTTTTATTTTTATTTCTAGAATTTTCACAGTTATACTTCCTAACACTTTTAGAATAATTATATTTTTTTTCCTATACTCGCTATTTAAACTCGTGTATTTATATATACTAGTTGTTTACGATATTCATAACGTAAACCGAATATAAATATATACCGAAAAAGTCTAAATTATTTCATCAATAATAAACAGAAACTCAACAAAAAATGTAAGCTTTATTAATAACTGAGAAAGGCTCAAGGCACCTCAAATAACAATCCATTTGTTTACCAAACCCAAAATTAAAAGAATGAAGAAGTAAAACCTGTAAATAAATTACTATATATTGTCAGTACGAGTTAAATTAAGATAGGACAAGAATAAAAAAGTACAAAGAAACAAAACAAAAACTGACTATCTACCGCATGCTCTAGAAACAAATTGTTTTCTTCTAACATTTAAACATGGAATAACGGACAAAATAATAAATATCAGTCTTGAATTATTTGCTTTTACAAAGCAGCGGTGTTTTCTTTAGTGTCTCCGCTTTCCGTCACTTCCGTAATTTTGGCAGTGTCCTTGACAACGGTGATATCATCGTCCGTTTCCATTTTGGAATCCTCTTTGGTTAAAACCGGCTCGTCTTCACAGTCAAACGGATTTTTTGAATCCGGAGAATCGGAACGGGGCTCCTCCACCAACGGTTCCGGTTCTGCCTCCGAATCGCTCTCCAAATTCTTCTCAGAATCAGAGGATTCGGCTTGCTTCAGAGCTTTCAGTGGCGTGAGTGGCGATTCAAATTTCGGACCGATTGGTTTCTTCTTTCGTGCGGAATTGAAATGAGAGCAATAGCAACAACAAAACGAAAGATATTCAAACTCTTCTTTGAGAGCCATACCTAAAAATTAAAAAAAATCAATATTTAATAAACACAAAATTCTTATACCGGGTGTCTCAAAAGTGGCTCACCCCTATAACTTTTTTATTTTTTTAGATAAAATGACGAGACTTGGTACGTTAGTATATGACATAAATCAGGATTGATTGACGTATTCAATTGTTTTTGGTCGCTTCCTGTTTTCCTGGAAATGACTACAACTTTTGATTTTTAAATGGCACCCTCAGTATTTTTTAACTTTATTCAATAGAAAATGACATTCTGAATAGAATGACATAATATTCAACTTTTGACATTCTCGCTTAATAAAAAATTGTATTTTAAATTTCAATCTGGAGTGCCATGGCTATGTTAAAAACACTAATTTGTAATCAAAGAGCCTTGGAAAAATAGATTGGATTGTCTAATGTTTTCAGTGTCTTGTTGCCTTGTAGTTAAAAAATCGTATTTTTAATCATATCTCAATTTTTTTAAATGGAACGAGAGTGGCTCATTAGCATATTTGGAAAATGCATTTGTTTACGAATACTTTGATACCACACACTTGGTATTTCGAGTCAAATTTTCGTTACGAACCGCAAGTTATAATTTCAAATAAACCATACGCGAAAATGTCAAAAGTTGATATATGATATGTCATTCTATTCAGAGTGCTATTTTCTATCGAATAAAGTAAAAAATACCGAGAGTGCCATTTAAAAATCAAAAGTTGTAGTCATTTCCGGTGAAACAGGAAGTGAGCGAAAACAATTGAATACATCAATCAATCCTAATTTATGTTATACTAACATACCAAATCTCGTTTTTTTAACTGAAAAAATAAAGAAGTTATAGGGGTGAGACGCACCCGGTATAGGGTGATTCACGGCAATGGCACGTTACGCTTCGTCCTACGTGGGAGACAAAAGTAGTGATGGGAAAAACCGACTAATTTCAATAATCGAGTACTCGAGTTTCAAGCGATTGCAATAACCGAGTGATCGCTCGAGAGAAATATCACTCGTATTTAAAAATACGGTTTTTCACCCGTCGCTTGTTGTAAGTTGTAAGTGTTGTAACTCGTTAACGCCTAGCGCCACATATTCTTTCGGTGATGAATGGCTAGTAGCAAGCGGCGAGCGATTCGCTTGATTTAGTTTATTTCAAAGCATTGTCGATGTATAGGTCGTGAAATTTTGTCTCTCAGATACGCAACGGATAAATATATATACGACGTCGTACAAATTTGCTACCTGCAATGTATGTAGAAAATTCGCTCGGCTTCGCGGTCCGCGGTCATAGATAACAGAACTAATTCTCGGTCAGTGTCAGCACCGTTTAGAGAAGATTATTACAAATTTTCATTTTTAATAATAATGAACATTGAACAAACATTTTTTTTTCCAACGTCACAGAAGTATTAATTTTTACGACGTGACTGACAATATAAAAACGCTATTTTAACGCCTAGGCATAAAAGTAAAGCATTTTTGCGCGTCAAACGCATAACCTCGCCACGAAAAGTATCATTTTTACTCCTAATAAAACAATATACTATTACTCTTGGCTTTCTTAGATAAATCATATAAAATTGGTTGCGCACACGCACTTTTTCAATATTTTTTTCTGTATTACACATGATAACTAGGGTGATTCTACTTAACTTATCATGCTAACTGGCGGGCAAATGGTGCATGCAGCGTTCTAATCTACTGTTCCGCCGTCCGCAAAGTTCCACGTGGTAGTTCGCTGCAAGAAAAGGCGGGCGCGTTCGCCAGATCGCGGTAGTGTGCTCTCTTCAATTTAGTTACATGTACTGTTACTGTCCGCAACGCCACCGCTTCCGCCACCGCGTCCTCTACCGCTCTCGTTTGCGCGCCGCTTTTTATCGAGTATGTCACATTAAAATCGGATTTCAATTTATTTCATTCTAGGCTTGCTTGCTTTCGTCGCTTGGTACTCGTCACTTGCCTCGCTCGTTCATAATAGAGCGATGTCGGTTATTTCAATAATCGAGTACTCGAGCGATATTTCGGTCGAGTAATCCCATCACTAGTCAAAAGCGCGCGATTGGGGCGGTGCGAGCGACGCGTATTTATCAAACAACGTTTTCTTAGAAAGCTGTCCTAAGTGGGAGATTCACGAGATGTCGCGCGACTGAAGCGGCATCGCAGGCGATTCGATACGGCAATCGCCCGCTCGCTTTTGTCGCCCACGTAGGACGAAGCGTTAAACGTTTATGAAGAACCGCTGATATATTTTTTCTGAAAATTTACATTTTTACATTAAGGTACCTGCTTCATCTTTCTAAAATATTTTCAGCATTACAGTGTTACCGTATCATTCAAAAAATGGTATCTTTCTCATTTTAAATGGAACAACCAGTATATTATTACATTTTTGAAAACTCCTTTCATAGCTCATAATTTGTCTATTATACTAACCTATACCTATCTCTAATAATTTTTAAGATAAAAAATAAAACATGTGTAAAATTGACAAAAACATGATCGTGAATAAGCCTTGGTAAAATCATGAATTAAACATTTTTAAAGTTGAAATTTGGTTTATAAGTAACGAAATATATTCGATCGGTCTAAATAAACCAATTGGATTATTTATTTCTCAAAAATATTATTTATTTCTGTTTGTTATAAAATTACTCAATTTTTTTATTTCAAATTCAACCATATGAATGTTATTCAAAAAATCAAAAGAGTAATAAAATTGCTTTTCAACAATATAACATGTTCCTATACTTAAACCTTCCGGTTTCTTAAGTAGAGCTGTTTAAAAGTTAATAACTCTATTATTATAGTTTCATTTCAAGAATTTGGTTCCCATGACAATTTTAGAAATTTAGCACCTAAATCATACCTAAACTCTAAATAATAATAATTGATACTTATGTCTTAAGTTTGAATATTTGTCATGGTAAAGATTTTCTTTAAACGAAACAATTATAATAGAATTATTATCTTTTAAATGGCTTTACTGAAGAAACCAGAAGGTTTAGGTATAGGAACATGATATATCGTTGAAAAGCAATTTTATTTGGGTTTCGATGTTTTAAATAATATATATAGGCTTGAATTTAAAATAACAAAAATTTTAATGATTTAATAACAATCGGATATAATTATTTTTTCTGACCTTCATGTTTGATATCCAATCAGTTGATTTAGACAGATCGAATATGTCGACTTTCCTTAACCTATAATCCAAACTTTAGCTTTCAATGTGCCGAACTTATGATTTAACCAATGCTTATTCAAGATAATGTTTTTGTCAATTTTACACGTTTTATTTTTTATCTTGAAAACTATTAAAGATTGGTATAGGTTAGTATAATAGAAAAATTTTGAGATATGGAAGTAGTTTCGAAAAATATAATAATATATCGGGTGTTCCATTTAAAATAACAAAGATGCTACTATGATACTTTTAGTATGAAGCGGCAACACTGTAACACTGAAAATAATTTAGAAAGATGGAGCATGTGTTGCATGGATGCAAAAATCCAAATTTTCAAAAAAAATCCTATCACCGGTCCTCCATAAACGTCTAACGTGCTGTGGCCGTGAATAACCCTGTATATTTTAGAGTAGTTACCATTGTGACTACTGCATTTTTGACAAATTAGAGCATATCTATTTGAGGGACCATCTCCAACTAAATAATCAACCATTTTATCAAGGACTGAACGATCTCTAGGCAAAATACTTCTTGGTAAGGGTGTTGTAGTAGCTGGAGTTCTAATTAATGCACTAGATACTGGCGGAATATTTTGTGTCCTAAAAAAAATTAGATTACTTTCACACTGAGCGACTTTTGTGAATTCGACCGATTCGTTCGAGTTAGCGGCTGGCTCGACATATGGTTCCGTACATTACAAGCCGCCGCGCCGTCCACACTGAGCGAATATTATGTTCAGTTTCTCAAAAACAAAATGATGATTTTTACTTCAAAACTAAGGAAGATACGTGTAAAAAGTGGTAAAAGTTTCGCGCGCAACGGCTATGCAGCGTTTCAAAACACATCGTCACCGCAATGTTATTCTAAACAGTAATTTAGAAATAACATAACGCAACCGTTGGTACTTCTAAAAATAACAGATATAAAATAACGTCACGTAGAGATCAACGGTTCGTGATACAAAGTCGGCGCGGCGCTCTGCATCGCCATGAAATTTTGTACAGCTATGTTGGAGAGGTTGAGAAACACGAAGAAGTCTATAAATATAAAATTCCTGGGTGCTCAAGGAAATACATGGCAGATAAAGCATGTATGGATGGACCCAGTACTTCCGCTGTAACCTGCGTTATCTGCAGTATTGATAATAATCAATTATGTCTTCATCATATGATTCTGAATAATCGGAATTTTTGACATGGAACAATTATTTACTTGAACTGCTACACCTACTGATTGAAACCGATTCATGAGTTGCATTCGTGTGTGTGCAGCAGTTTTATTTTAGTTGGAAACTGATTGTAGGGAGTAGTGGTGGGCAAAATCGTTATTTTTAATTAAATAACAGTTGAAACTGTTACTGTTATTTATATATAATTAACAGCTTAAAATAACAGATTTCTGTTATTGTTTGACTTTAATGTTAAACACCTAAAATATCATACGCATTGTCCAAATTGTAGTAAAATCATGAAGATCTTCATATTTATTTCATAATAAAAAATAATGTACATAAAATATAAAATTTATAAGCAAATTAAACACTGTTTTAATTTTTAGAATATGTTTATTATATTATTAATAATTAAGAAAATAATTATTAAAAAAATCAATATTACTAATTAAAAAAATGAGCTTAGACAGTCTTTATTTATTTAAGTAGTTGAAAAGCACTTAATATTTTTTTCTAATCACCAAAGTTCTAATTCATTTAATAATTAAATTTCTAATCATCATTCACAATTTCTTGATATCATTATTGGTGACAGACAAGTAAAATTGTCTTTGAAAAGTTTTAAAACGTAGCAAAAACAATGAAAGTACATCTTTAAAAATATTAATAAAAATAACTAAGTAACATAATAACTAAGTTCTGAAACCTCGACTGAAACTTACAAAACAAAAACTTTAAAATGTAAATAAATATATAAAAATAAATTTGCAGAAAGCAAAATAGTAAAATAAACCTGCACAAAACGATTCTAATAACACAAGCTTAATCAAGACAATTTTCTTTAATTCAGTTATAATTAATAATTATTTTTATTTACCATGCAAAAAAATTACCCAGAAATCCGACAAAATAAAACCACTTTCAAACTATTTTACGCAAAAAAATATGTATTAAAAATTAAATAATTGAATTAACGCCACCGTACACCCCGATCGACCCACACAGGCGAAAAAGCTATTATTTTCCAACTCCGCTTACCTCGACTGCCGCACCGCCCGTTATTCTCGTAACAGGTTAAAAATCAATGTATCTAAAACAACTGCTTATTTTCTATACGTTATTCTCCAACCTGTTGCGGGTCTAGCATCGACCGATGCAGCAGCGTTACTTATCCACTCCGGTTAACTCGACCGTCAGGCGTTATGCCCGCAACAGTTGCAACTGTTTTAAAAAAGCTGCTTATTTTATATACTGTTATTTTTAAGCTGTTACAAGCCCCTCGACCGATGCGTGGGGAACGTTCGCCGTGGCGCATTCCCCACTCCGTTGTATCTCGACTGTCGGCGCGTCGCTCGTTATCGATGGTTGGCGAAATAACAGATTTTTCATACTAGTTGTTTTTTGGAATTGCTTAGATTCAGATTTCGTGGCGATGCAGAGCGCCGACTTCTTTTCACGAGCGGTCGATCTCTACGTGTCGTTATTTTATATCTGTTATTTTTTAGAAGTAGCAACGGTCGCATTATGTTATTTCCAAATATCTATTGTAAAATAACAGATAGTTAAATAACAACCCATCTCTACTATGGAGTAAACTAGTTTGGAACTTTTGTTTTAAAATATTTACACAGTGGGCTCTGGGCCTAAATTATAATCGAAACCGCCCATTTATTCTATTAATTTCAATTAATTCATTTCTGAATGAGCTTTAATGATAAAACATAGATATGTAACATACTTTTGATTTGAAGGTGTTGGAAGCGCTAGCTGACGACCCATGATGCTTTGAGGTGTACTTGGAAGACCACCAAATGACAATCGATTCTGCATTAATGTTCTAGCAGGTATATTTCTCTGTCTAATCACTGAAAGAAAATTGTTCAAAAAAAATGTCATAATAAGTTAAATTCCCTATTAAGATGTTCACAGATTTAAGAAAAAAATTGTCTAAATCACAAAAAAATAATGCAAGAAAAATATTTAATTATTAGTAAATCTGTTAATACATTTAAAATGACAATACTATATACTATTGATTCAAATCTTAATACATAATACACACCATGCTAAGAATTATTCTCGGAATATAAAACACATACCTATCTAGCTATACAAATATACCAATTGATCTCATATCATATTACATGCAATATAAAAATATTATTAGAATATTTTTACAGAATATTATTTTTATTTTTTGTTCTTTGACATTATAAACATTTATGTTTATTTTAACAATAAGACTGACAATATTATTTGTATAATGTTTTGTATTATCTTTTGTTTGTTTGTTTGTGTACCTTGTTTTTTTACTTTGTTTGTTAGTTTACCTTTGTCTACAAATTGAAAAATTTTTTGACAATAAAGGCATTTATTTATTTATTTATTTTATTTACCTCATTACTTCAAAGATTTAATTAAAAATAAAATATTAAAGAAAGTTGTTGCATAATTTATTTGTTATTAAATATTAACTTTCACTTAGTTTCAGTAAAACGAACTGTTGTAAACCAAATATTTAGGCAATAAGTAAGTTTTACTATTGTAATTGCAAATATTTAAATTAGCTATTGATATCAAATCTCATTAATGAATCATTTTGTAGTAAAATGAACAATAATAAAATATTTATTATTTACTGTTAGTCACTTTTAAATACCTGATTCATTGCCCGCGGGACTAAAAGCTGGTGATGTCCTTTGAATTGTTGGAGTAGAAATAATAGCTTTTTTTCGTTCATTGCCAAATTTGTCTAATATGGATTTGGCTACTTTATAGGTCTCAGTTTCCATAACATTTTCCAGAATTTTTTTCTTGTTTTCCTTTAAGGTTATCAATTTCTTTTCATTTTTCTTAATTTTTCTATTATAATACCATGTCAAAAACTTCTTTATCAACCATATTCTAAATATCGTAGATTTATTATTTACCATTACAATTAGGCACCTCTACTTTAATTAATACTTACACTAAAGGAAAAGTTATAAGTGGTATACTCCAAAGCAGTTTTTGATTTTGTGATATTTGTGAAAAATATAAGTACAAAAGAAAGGCTAGACCTACGTATATTGAGATAGCTAACAGAATAAATCGAAAAACAATTTTTCGTTGGGTTTGCTGTGTTCTTTTTTGAAATTCCTCAATCGAAACTATTTCATCCTCCAACTTACTTAACACATCATATGTGCTAGTCTTTTTCTAAAGAGATATAATAGTTAAAAACTTGCTACAACTTCTAAATACATTACAACTTACTCGAAATTTTGCAATAATGATGCCCATCTCAACAGTTACCAATTTTTTTCTAATGAATTAACCTTACTTTGCAAAGGAAGCATAACATAGTATTTAATATTTCTTTCTATTCTAAAAAAATAAATTTATACGTACAAATTTAAATTAAATTCATGTTTGTATTACAGAGTACATATGAATATTATTCTTCCAATTTTTTTTACTATCTCACATATGTCTCATTGTCTCATAGTGTCTCATTTTCAATATTTTTTATTTTTTGTAATTTGTATGACAATTGACATTTTACCATAGAATAATATATCATATAGTAATGGTGTGGATCCGGTGGCTGACCTTGAAACGATTTTTGGTAATGGTGTGGATCCGGTGGCTGACCTTGAAACGAGTTTTTGCTGCATATAGTCACAGACACTACGCATGCGCACATCTTTGATTTTGCCAGATTGCGAGTTATTTTGGAATTATTTTCAGTAGAAAACAAATAGGTATGTGCTTTTCAGTGTTTTTTTGTCAATATATACCGTATGATCGAAAAAACGGCGTCCAGTTGGCTGGGAAATGACGATTGAGGACATTTCCCATATAAAATGACAGCGATCTTCATTTCATAGTCATCGCTGACGCTATTTTTTTTTCAATCATAGTACGCGGAATATTATTATTTATATTATTATTTTAATATTTCGCACAACACGTGAACGCTTATTGCATATGTATTATCGTAGTCAATAAAATTATATAGAAATAAAACTCCACAACAACGGAGGCCTTAAAAGGCCTTTTAGCCTCCGTAATTAAAATTGTAGAATCAGCTACAGTAATAGTTACCTTGTTTAATTCTGCTTATACATATATTGCATTAATTTTTCCGCTACATTAAGATTTCTCTATTCTTACACCTAATTTATGTGATTTTCTTAGCATATATGATTTATAAGCCATATTTTTCCTAATGGAAGGATGGAATAGGATATGCAAAATTAAGATATTTTAACATTTATTTTCCAGACCAAGCATAATATAGTATTAAGATTAAGACATAACAAATATTATAAGAAAGATCTTAATATAAATCACAAAGTCTTAATTTGCTCTTGTATAAACACAGGTATAAAACTAATCAAAACTCAACCTTCACCATATTGTCAAGATTTGGCATTATAGGAAACGAAATTACAGTAAATTAAAGAAATAATATCAAAAAAGTACGATATTAAATGCTGTAATGTATTCTACGACACAAACCATCTCCCTTCTAAAGAGAAAAAGATAAAACATAAAGCTTATTTTAGTCTTATCAACACACTCTTCGATAAAATATATGTCTAAAATTGCTATTAATCCACTAACTTGATATTTTTAAGAAATTATGATACAAACATTACAATCAAAGTATATTATATTAGGAACATTATAGGTAAAATATGTTACCTCTATCTCCCATTGACGTGTATTGTTCTATAAGACTCGTCATGGTAGTATTTTAAAACATCAATACAAATAATCAAAACTATTGTTGCCTGTCTGTAAATAACTAGAAATTAAATAACTTGAAAGAAATAAAACAATTCTAATAAGTTTAAACCCACTAAGAAAAAATTCGTGTAAATATATAAATAAATGTTATTATTATTCAACCACTTCCATATCTCATCTGTGATTATTACAATTTTATATATTCATATTACTTTCATTTCACAATCTTCATTATCCTTCTTACCTTAATTTTGGATATTAAGATAAATCTGAAATTATAAAATTAATTATAGAATTTGTATTATTATTGATTAACACTCAAAAAAAAATTTTCAACTGCAAATAATTCGAAAATAAACTGCAATTTGGCAACATCGACGATGTGCGCTTGCGTAGTATCGATGATCAAATCCAGCAAATATGGGCTTCAAGGTCAGCCACCGGATCCACACCTTTACCCGATTTTTTACTGCATATATGGTGGGTTCATACAGCCAAATAAAATAAAATAAGAATAAAATAAAATAAAATAAGAAAGTTGGTTATATGGGATACCGTACATGCGTTCATACAGCCAAATAAAATAACAAATAAAATAAGAAGTCTTTATCTTTTAACTTCTTGTTTTATTTTATGTGTTATTTTATTTTAAACGGCTTTGCGGACGCTTAATTCTAACCTACAAATATTTTCAGTTTGGATTTAATTTATTTTATAATTTCACATAAGTAAAATATATAATATAGTAGGCAACGAACAAATAAATATACTATAAATAGTAAAATTACTATAAACAATCGTAAAAGTTAACTTTTATCCAGCCTCATCGTACTGCGCATGAGCAAATACATATTTCTTATTTTATTTTATTTGACTGTATGAACGCACACAAATAAGAATTCCTTATTTCTTATTTTATTTTATTCTTATTTTATTTTATTTGGCTGTATGAACCCACCAATAGTCCGGATACACACCACACCTTTACCAGTTTTTACCAGTTTATGGATTTTTGGAATCACAGAAAACATCGACTCCGGAAACAGACAAAAAAGGAACACAAATATGATAGGTAAAGGTGTGGATCCGGTGGCTGACCTTGAAGGCCATATTTGCTGCATTTGATCATCGATACTGCGCAAGCGCACATCTTCGATGTTGCCAAATTGCAGTTTATTTTCGAATTATTTGCAGTTGAAAACAAATGTTTTTTGAATGTTAATCAGTAAGAATACAAATACTATAATTAATTTCATAATTTCAGATATATCTTGATATTAAAAATTGGTAAGAAGGATAATGGATATATTGTGAAGTTAAGGTATTATGATTGTAATCGGCGTTGTAAATAATATAATATTGGGTAAAGGTAAAGGTGTGGATCCGGTGGCTGACCTTGAAGCCCATATTTGCTGCTTTTGATCATTGATACTACGCAAGCGCACATCGTCGATGTTGCCAAATTGCAGTTTATTTTCGAATTATTTACAGTTGAAAAATTTTTTTTGCGTGTTAATCAATAATAATACAAATTCTATAATTTCAGATTTATCTTGATATCCAAAATTAAGGTAAGAAGGATATTCTGAAATGAAAGTATTATAATATATAAAATTGTATTAATAATAACATTTATTTATATGTTTACATTAGAATTAAAATTTATCATTTACGGATTTTTTCTTAATGGTTTTAAACTTATTAGAATTATTTTATTTCTTTCAAGTTATTTAATTTCTAGTTATTTACAGGCAACAATATTTTTGATTATATGCATGTATTGATGTTTTGAAGTACTACCATGACGGGTCTTATTATAGAACAATAAACGTCAATCGGAGATAGAGGTAACATTTTACCTATTATATAATGTTACTAATATAATATACTTTGATTATAATTAATGTTTGTATCATAATTTCTTAAAAATATCAAGCATAGATATCAAGTTAGTGGATTTTATCGAAGAGTGTGTTGATAAGACTAAAATAAGCTTTATGTTTTATCTTTTTCTCTTTAGAAGGGAGATGGCTTGTATCGTAAAATACATTACAGTATTTAATATCGTATACTTTGTTATTCTTTTCTTAATTTACTGTAATTTCTTGTTTCCTATAATGCCAAATCTTGACAATATGGTGAAGGTTGAGTTTTGATCTTATTAGTTTTATAAGAATAATATAATAATAATAGAAATACAAGACTAAATTAAGACTTAGTTTGTGATTTATATTAAGATCTTTCTTATAATATTTGTTATGTCTTCATCTTAATACTATATTATGCTTGGTCTGGAATTTAAGTTGTTTAAATAATGTTAAAATATCTTAATTTTGCATATCCTATTCATCCTTCCATTAGGAAAAATATAGTTTATAAATCATATATGCTAAGAAAATCACATAAATTAGGTGTAAGAATAGAGAAATCTTAATGTAACAGAAAAATTAATGCAATATATGTATAAGCAGAATTAAACAAGGTAACTGTTAATGTTGTTGAAGCTGATTCTACAATTTTAATTACGGAGGCTAAAAGGCCTTTTAAGGCCTCCGTAGTTTTGATGGAATGTTAAAAAAAATCTATTATGAACATGACATGGAGCTACAGCATTTAAAAATTAAAAAAAAAAGAAAAAATTTGGACACATCCCTTTTAATTTCCCGAATTTTTAATGAAGCACTTTTTAAACGTAGCAATAATCTAGATAGTAATCTAGAGTTTTATTTCTATATAATTTTATTGACTGAAAATACATAATAAGCGTTCACGTGTTGTGCGAAATATTAAAATAATATACCGCGTACTATGATTGAAAAAAAATAGCGTCAGCAATGACTATGAAATGAAGATCGCTGTCATTTTATGGAAATGTTCTCAATCGTCATTTCCCAGACAACTGGACGCCGTTTTTTCGATTATACGGTATATATTGACAAAAAAACACTGAAAAGCACATATTTGTTTTCTATTGAAAATAATTCCAAAATAACTCACAATCTGGCAACATCGAAGATGTGCGCATGCGTAGTGTCTGTGACTATATGCAGCAAAAACTCGTTTCAAGGTCAGCCACCGGATCCACACCATTACCGTATTATTATTACAATATTAGGTAATGGTGTGGATCCGGTGGCTGACCTTGAAACGAGTTTTTGCTGTATATAGTCACAGACACTACGCAGGCGCACATCTTCGATGTTGCCAGATTGCAAGTTATTTTGGAATTATTTTCAGTAGAAAACAAATATGTGCTTTTCAGTGTGTTTTGTCAATATATACAGTATGATCGAAAAAACAGCGTCTAGTTGGCAAGGAAATGACGATTGAGGACATTTCCCATATAAAATGACAGCGATCTTCATTTCATAGTCATCGCTGACGCTATTTTTTTCAATCATAGTACACGGTATATTATTTCTATTATTATTTTAATATTTCGCACAACACGTGAAACGTGAATGCTTATTATGTATTTTCATAGTCAATAAAATTAAATAGAAATAAAATTCTAGATTCCTATAATTAATCTAATTGCTCTAGATTATAATGCTACGTTTAAAAAGTGCTTTATTAAAAATTCGGGAAATTAAAAGGGATGTGTCCAAGTTTTTTCTTTTTTTTAATTTTTAAATGCTGTAGCTCCATGTCATGTTCATAATAGTTTTTTTAACATTCCATCAAAACTACGGAGGCCTTAAAAGGCATTTTAGCCTCCGTAATTAAAATTGTACAATCAGCTTCAGCAACATTTACAGTTACCTTGTTTAATTCTGCTTATACATACATTGCAT